GATCTGAAGTGTGAGAGGGGCTCTGAGCTGCTCTTGGGTCAAGCAGTTGGGATGTAGGAGAGGGGGTTCTAGGTGCAGGCTCTGGGACAGTGTTTGGATGCAGGGGTGCTCGGGGCTTGGAGTGCAGGAGGGGGTTAATGACTGGGGTAAGAGTTCCCCTGGTGGCTCCTGGGTGGTGGTGCAGTGGGGCTAAGACAGGCTCCCCCCTGTCCTGGCCATGGACCACTCTCAAAAGCAATCAGCAAACTTTCTCCATCCCAACTCCTGTTGTGCCCCCTCTCTGCTCTGCGGAGAAAGGATACAGAGTGGGAGGGGGCATCTTGACATCAGCACCCTCCTCTCCCTTCCCTGCCCTGTGCAGAAAGCAGGATGCTCCCCAGGGGAAGGGGCAGTTCCAAGACAAAGGACAGGAGCTGCGCAACAGTGTGAGGAAGGGCAGTTGAACTGCCGGCACTTGACAGCCTCTTGGCCAAACCAGTCAGGATCACCTGCCAGAGGCTCCAAGATCTACCAGTCGATCCCGATCGACTGGTTGGTGACCACTGGTCTAGATGTAGCCATAGCCTGAGACAAAGAGGTGAAGCATTTGATTCCAGAATCTGGTTCTGGCAACCTCAGGAGGTCTTCCAGCTAGAAAAGGGCGAATTACATACTCTTCCTCTTAACCGTTAAAAAATTGCTGGCTCAGCTGTTTCATTTCCCCAAGAGATTACTGAATGCTGACTGATCTTAAGTAACCCAGGCAGCTGTTTCCTCAAAAGGTAATAGTGAAATAAAATTTAACCCCCCCCCCAAACAATTAATTTAGAACACCATGTTTCTTTCCATTTTCTACATCGTTCTACCTTTTAAATAAAGAAAGAAAATGCAAGTACATTTTGAAAGGAAAAGTATCAGGGGGGTAGCCATGTTAGTCTGGATCTGCAAAAGCAAAGAGGAATCCTGTGGCACCTTTGGGACTAATAAATCTGTAAGGGTATGTCTACACTACAAAGTTAATTCAAACTAACAGTCATTAGTTCAAATTATCTTTAATAGTGGCTATACATACAAACTGCTAGTTCGAATTTAAATCGAACTAGTGGAGCGCTTAATTTGAACTAGGTAAACCTCATTCTACGAGGAGTAACGCCAAATTTGAATTAAGTAATTTGAATTAAGGGCTGTGTAGCCACTTAATTTGAACTAGTTGGAGGCTAGCCCTTCCCAGGTTCCCCCGGTGGCCACTCTGGACCAGCCCAGGAAAACTCTTCTGCCCCCCTCCCAGCCCCAGAGCCCTTAAAGGGGCAGATTCTGGCCACAGTGCCTGTGCCAGTTGCAAGCCTGCCAGTATCCAGCCAGCAGACCCTGTACCTGGCACACCATGAGCCAGGCACCCGCTGCCACCCAGCCCTCCACCACTCCCCAGGACCAAGCTGGAAGCCCCCAGGAGCCTGCCAGGGGCCAAAAAAGATGGGCACCCGCAGAGATCGTGGACCTCATTGAGGTTTGGAGGGAGGCCTCCAATGCCCATGATCTCCGCACTAGGACAGGAATGCGGCCATCTACAGCTGCATGGCTGCCAGCCTGGCCACCAGAGGCCACATGTGCAGCCAGGAGCAGGTGCACTGCAAAATTAAAGATCTGCGGCATGCCTACATCAGGGGCTCCCAACCAGGGGCTGATCCAGACACCTGCCCTCATTATGAGGCCCTGGACCGCATCCTGGGGGCTCACACAGTCCATGCCCCCCAGGTGGTGATCGACCCTGGGGCAGAGGGACCCGTCCCTGACACGGAGGAGAAGGAGGAGGATGCCAAGAGCCAGGAGCCTGCAGGGAGCCTGCCCAGCACCCAGGACCCCCGAGTCATCCCACAGAGCCCATCAGCTGTGTCGTCTGATGCCGGGGATGGCTCCACATGAGTGCCATCATGGTCCCCTCATGTGGGGCGGGGGGGAGGGAGGGAGAGGGAGTGCAGGGACCATGCGCCTGGGCCTTGCCCACCATGGAGCAGCAGCTGGGTGTCATACAGGGGCCCTGGCTTGTTCCCCACACACCGACCTTGCTTTGCAGAGGAGGGCTGAGTTTCATCCACTGTGTCCCCAGGGAGAACTGACCACTGCTCTTGTTTCATGACAGCTGCAGCACCTGTGAGTGCAGGGTGCACCACCCTGTCTAGAACAGCCACCCGCACCCGGACCAGCAGGCACACCTGGAACCAGGAGGAGTACCATCAGCAGCACCCATGGCTACTGGAGCACCAGCTCCGCATCCAGGAGCACTGGGTCCGGAAGGACCTGCGGCAGTGGAGCTTGGAGGTGCTGGAGGAGCAGGGTTGTTCCCCACACACCGACCTTGCTTTGCAGAGGAGGGCTGAGTTTCATCCACTGTGTCCCCAGGGAGAACTGACCACTGCTCTTGTTTCATGACAGCTGCAGCACCTGTGAGTGCAGGGTGCACCACCCTGTCTAGAACAGCCACCCGCACCCGGACCAGCAGGCACACCTGGAACCAGGAGGAGTACCATCAGCAGCACCCATGGCTACTGGAGCACCAGCTCCGCATCCAGGAGCACTGGGTCCGGAAGGACCTGCGGCAGTGGAGCTTGGAGGTGCTGGAGGAGCAGGGCTGTGCCCTCAGAGGCCACCTCCAGACCTTGGTGGACAGGTTCCTGCCTCCTCCTGCTCCGGCCCCTGCGGCCGTCCCAGCTCTCGCTCCTCCTCCCACCCCTCCAGGGATAGTTCAGTCCTCCTCCACCTGGAAGCTCTCCCGCAGTGCTTCTCGGATCTGGACAGCCCCCCGCTGGGCTTCCCGGACGGCGGCGGTGTGGGGCTGAGCGTAGTGGCCAGCCATGTGCTCAGCCTCAGCCATCCAGGCTTGCAGGAAAGCCTCCCCCTTTCGCTCGTACAAATTGTGCAGGACAAAACATGCTGCCACCAC